GGCAAGAAGAAGCAGAAGACATACGTGCTGCAGGAGCGCGAAACCACGGAATGTCTTGACGGAGAGGACCATCTCTGCAAGCGCCACATCGGTGCGGAAATCCTTGATCACGACCTCAGGAGCACGGGCTGAGTGCAAAAGCTTGGTGCATAGCTCTCCACTTACCCATCGGCTCAGTGGCAGTAACCGATGCCAATCCCAAGTGCCCAAGACCAGCAAGAGCTGTGGAGGGTGCTAATGTGTCAATGGGTCCAAGCGGAACAAGGCAGACTCAACGACGACGACAATAATCACAACAACAAGAACCACCACAACTGCCATCGCAACTTTTGACGACTCTCGCGACTCTCGCAGCAAAAACCACCACAGTCAGACGGACTCAATGTCATTCCCGATCTGGGATGTGATAATCAAGAAGAAGAAAATGACAGAAGCAACACAATATCACCAATCATCTAAGGACGTGTGTGTGTGTGTGCGCGTGTGGGTGTGCGAGCGTTGCACGCAGTCAGCGCCCGAATGATGTGAGCCTCGGCGGTCTCTCCTTCATCGTGCTCTGGGTTCCTGTGAAGGTGCATGCGCTTCTGTCCCCTGCCCATTGATCCCTGGTAGGAGCATCGAATGCGTCAGCATTTTGACCGATTTGTGGCAACAGCCATGCTACAAGCATCTGACGTGCATCAGCATGAGCCTTGGATCGAAGGGGGGAAAGGTGTAGGGAGCGCGAATCGCCGACCGGGAAGCGAATGAAAAGGACGCAGCGAGACCCAGGACCCTGCAGCAACAAGACACCTCGCTAAGACGTCACCAGACTGCTGGGCAGTTCACAATATGTAAATGCATTCCGGCAGCTGACACTTCTTCGACATTCAGCCTCAGAGCAGGTGATCTCAATCATGCACAAAAGCCGTGAGTCAGTGAAGGTTTCCAAACACATAAAGACTCGAAGGGACAGATCAATGCACCCACCGGTTTGAGGCCCTCAGGACCTCAGAGGGTAGGTCAGGGAGCTCGAAAGACGATGGAGTTAGACTATAGGGGAACCACCAACAATTTCTACAAGGACCCTAAGAGGGACCCATAGTTTTCGGAACCCCCATGATGGTGTGTAGGGGTATGAAAGAGAGGTATCGATACAAGTCATTGAAGCTTTGTTGGCGACAAGGGCTGCAGCGTCTAAATTGCGTCCAGATTTCACTCCCATAAGCAACGATTTCTTCCCAGACAAGGCGGACCGAAGGATGCATAGTTGCTGGACCCCCCGTAAGAGCCTGAAAACACAGCATTCACAAACCCTGTAGACACCAATTGTTTGGATGCACATGGGGCCTGAGTACAGTTCTGCGGGTTGGAAGGGCTTAAACGTCTGCTATAGCTAGAAGTAGTTGTGCCTATGCAGGTTCATGGCGAGGTCATGTTTGTATGAGTATGCAACAGTATATGAGTTAGTATAGATGAGTGTATGTAAAAAAGTACGTGTGTAAATTCACAGTTTTTCTGCATATGCAATATGTAAATGTATATGTACATATACATATAGGCATATATATATATATATGTATTTGTGTGTGTCCTTACAATTAAACATATATATATATATATGTAATTGTAGACACTCTAATGAATGCTACCATGTACGGCTGTATGTGTCATACGCGATAACCTGTTCTGGCACATGATAGTGGCGCAACTTGGGTCTGAAGAACAAGGACTCGCAGCTAGGGTCGCAGCCTCAAGAACTTGCAACGCACAGTGCGAATCGTGTATTTGAGAAGTGGCGGTATATATGGGGCCCATGTACTCATCGAGCCATGTCCGCCAGGATACTCCTTGATCAAGTCGACGGTGACATCTACTTTGACAGTTCTTTGGGTTGCAGTCTCAAGCCGCAGCAGCTCCTTCGGCACAGCATTTTGTTTGGCTGAGGAATGCTAAGTGAACACCGGGCCTTCGCCGAGTCAGCGGCAGAAGAAGCTGTTCGTCCAGCGGACACCATGCCGTTGACGATGCTCTTGGCAATACCCTTGGTCACGATGCGAAAAAGCAAGATTTGAAGCTGCATTGAGCGCTGACATCTATTGCATATTGCAATGCACCTGGTGAAAGACAGCCTTAACCTCTGGTGACAATCTGCTTGTGCTTCCGGCCTGTGCAGAGTTTACTTCGCCCTGCATAGGTGCCGGGCCTCACTTACTCCTGCCGTTTTGCAGCCGGCGGCAGCACCCTTGGCAGCCGCAGCACCAGCAAGCTGCGTCTGGCAAGGGCGAACTGTTTGCCACACACTTAGGGGTTGACTCCGTCTGACATGCTTCAGGCAGACAGTACCTCTGCTACTAGCTTTCTCTACTGTTTAAGGCTTGCATGACTGCTCCCTTGTAGTTTTTACATGTTTTTACGGCCTTACTACGACCTTACACCTGCCGCTGCAGGACTCGTGTGTTCGCCTCTTTCGTTTCTGTTCTTCCTTCTCCCTGAGAACGGCCTGTCACCGTTGTTCGTCCTATTGCTGTTTTGGCTGTGGTTGTGGTCTTTGTGTTGTTGTACCACAGCAACCACCACGACAGCGACGGCGACGGTTACTGCACCATTGTTTGTGGCTCTTGCCACAGTGGGACCAGAAAGAAAAGACGCCATGCCCGGTGCCTTTGTGCCTTCTATCAGGCAGGAAGTCTGGAATCGCACGTCACGCCTTTGCTAATTCTTCGGATCGGGCACGAGCCAGCCAATGCTTTGCAAGTCTCGTCTGCATGCATGGCAAGGAGCAGTGTGAATTTCACCGGGCTGAAGGAAACAGCTCCCCCATCTTCTTTGTCCACCTGGGTCTGTGGAGTGGCTTTGTTCATCAGACTCGGTGCTGGGATCTACTGTGAAACGTGCACCTTCAGGCATCTCGGCGATCGTTTTTGGGGCCCCGGCAGCGAGAAATGTGACATGTACTTTTGGATCGATCCTGCAGCTGCAGAGGTCCACGTGTCTGATGAGTCTTGTGGCGACGGGCCTGGGATCGGGCTGCACCACTTTGGTTTGGCCCTCTAACCTGTCAGGGGAGGTCTTCTTGGCTCTGCTACCAAAACCCCGAAATCGCAGTGCTACCGGTGCTTTTCAAAGAATTACTTGGCCTCCTTTTCAACTCTGAGAGCGCGAACTCTGTGGCATCCGTCTCGCAGCTGTCGCAGCTGCATGCGTTGCCCATAGCCGGCACAGGATTTGCTGAGAGGCCAGGGCTGTGTGCAAAGATGCATGCCATTCACCATTACGCAAGAGGCTGCGGCGCCTAGGGGAGTCTCAAGAAGTCTTATGGTATTCTTGTATGCCATTGTCACAATGGGTTACTGGCAGTTTCTTGATCCTTGGTCCAGGTGAAAGTAGTCGCTGCCGCAGCCAGGAAAGATGTGGCAGACCCTCTGTGCCTCATTGTCTTTCAAGCAACCAACCAGCTGATGTTGGAGTCCCGGACAGGCATCGAGGGCCTACACATTTGTTGCACAGGCTACTCCGTGTGTCGCGATTCTTACTAGGAAGCTGCATCCAGATCCGAGGCAGCGAGATTTCTGGCACCTCCTTGGGACCAATGAAGGTGAGCCGACACACCGCTTCTGCAGCTGCACGGCGGGTGTTGACTGCCGAATCCTGCGTTTGACTTCTCCCAGTGCCAGTTAGTTGCTACTCGGTACCACCGGACAGGACAGCTTCGCTTGTCCTGAAGCCTTGCCATCAATGCCGGCATGTGGGCCACTGCCGCTTGCCAGTTTGGCATGCGGCCGAGTGCTTCGCAAACCACCTTCCACCATCTAGCGCCGGACTTGAATCGAAGTGATTTGCAGAGCCGTGCCGCATGCCCCGCCTGCTGCTCGAGCTCCGACCGTTCCTCACCAAGTTCTTTGGCGAGCGCGGCTGCCTCTTCACCAGCTTCTTACAAGCACAGGTAATCCCCTCGCAGATTTGAGCCGAGGTGCTCCAGGTGCACCTAGCCGGGCGAGCGCCACAGCGGTGGATGCAAAAACTGCTGGCTCGCTGTCCTGCGCTTTTCCACTGGATGCTGCGAATGCCGAGACATGAAGCTGATATGTAAGACAGAGGTTACGGTTACCAGAAACCACACTTCCAGTAGCGATGACAAGCCTGTATGCATGCATACACAAGAAAGGAAGCGTGCAAATACAATCTCTTATTGCATTTATATACATACAACCGCTGGAACATGAAACGACTCGCATAGTTCCAGCTTTGTCACATGATGCAAGTGCCTGGAAACGCTTTACCACCACGGCCGCATGCGAAGGATGTGCTCTTTCGCCCACATGACCTTTCGCCAGAGATGTCTCTGAGTCAAAGCACTCCCAAAGTCACATTTTTTGAGACCTGCAGATCCCCATGGGCTAAGCAAGCGGCCCAGGATGATGACAGAGTGTTGTCTCACCTTCGGGTCAGAGCTCCTCGGTTGAACTTGCTGCCAGCATTTGCTGTGCGAGCATAAGCCGGAAGGAGAGATATCTTGAGCAGCCGGCTGGAGATGAACCTCCAACGCCTCACCGTATCTGCAGTTTCCGGCATCCTCGGAGGCTTAGCAGGAGCTGGGGCCCTGCGCGACTCTAGCAGCTAGACTCTAGCAGACTCTAACACTCTGTCATGGCTCCTCTGGAGCCACTGCCATCGCTGCGCCTGCTACGCTGCCGCTGCCAGCATCTTGCTTCGCAAGTGTGTGCTCCGGGCAGTACTACTGGGCTACTGGGTGGGGTCGTCTGCAGTTCTGCCACGGGACGAGAGAGATGCTCGAATTCAATAAACGACCGTATCAGAGGCCACCGGTCGTTGAAAAAGGATCAGAGGACTGTATAGTATACTTACTGGTAGCATGTTCTACAGGCGAGCTTGACACGGTGACGCGCGCAGCTGTCTCGAAGTGAACAACACTGTGTCTGCGGATAACTGCAGAAATTGCTTGTCGCGACACAGCAAGAGCAAAGACACCGGCCGTGCCCAATCAGAGAAGCGGGCTGTCAATTTTTTGCGCTCTGGCACAGAGGAGCCTCTTGCTCAAGCCGCGCTGGGGGCATGTACGCCGGCAGTCCTGGCTCAAGGCAGATAGACCCATGATCTCCAAGGTCGCAGTGCAAGCAGCTGCGGAGCCTCTTCGAGGTGGCGTTCCCTGCGTGGTAGCACTCCCTTGAGAAGTGCCGCTTTGGGCCTTCAAGCAAGGCTTCCCCTTTCTTTGTCCGCTCGTCTCGCCTTGATGGAACTTTGCTGACGCCACTCTCATCCGACAAAGCCGCTGAAGCCGAGGAACGGAGGCGCTGGGGCTCGACGGCGGCCGGCGCGGCCGCCTGCAAGGGACTTTGCACTGACTAAGAGAGAGTAGCGTGGTCCACACGAACGGACTGGAGATCTGATACCTGTTTGTGTTCTAGGCTGTTAACGTGAAACTCGGGTCCGTCGAAGGCTGACAAAGCACGGGGGCCTCAAATGGAGCTTCAAACGGTGCCACTCTCGGCTCCGGAGTTTCAAAGGGCGCAAACCTCATCTGCTTACCAAAAAGTAACGTCGGTCTGGCAATGGACAAAGCTGAGAGCGCTGCTGCGTAACCCCCAAACTATGACCATCCTTGGATGACGGGCTTGTCAGACTCAGGAAGGGCCGTGAAGTCCCACAAGGCTCTCAGGCCCGATCGGGTTTCCCTGCAGTCAATCCGCCACCATGGAATGGGGCCTCGGCAAAAAGCCGGATCCACCGTTCCCCTGAACGGGAAGGCAAAGGCGTCAAAGAGCCACACCCCAGACTTCAAGTTCTCCAGGCCGAAGCGAGGAACGTCGGGGTTCAAGTCCTGTATACGACAAGGCAGGAAGCGAGCCGGAAAGAGAAAGAGAAAGGAAAGCTCTCCTGCAGCAATTCCTGAAGGCCGCTGCCCCATTGCTCCTCCACCTCCAAGACATCTCACAGCACTTCACTGAAATTCGAACCTTCGAACCACGCCAAGCTCAGAGACCTGTTTGAACTTCACGAGGAGCTTCAGGCGGGCTGTCATTGTGATGCGGACCTTGTCCTTCCAGCCAACGCTTGCGCCGCCTGCAACAGGGACAGAGACTACGGCTTTACTTGCACGTCATCCTCCTTGTTGGAGGGTCAAGCATCAGTCTGTACATGAACATCTCGAGTACACAATATTTTTTAGGGAACCTGTTGGACCCTGCCTCTTCCTCTGCCCTCCAATAGTGGAAGCAACTTGAAGTCTGTTGCCTGCCCTCGCTCCAAGGTCTTGTCCGCCTACCAAACGCCTCCAAGCACAGCCCCACTTCCCCCAGCCATCCCGGCCTGCAACGGACAGCAGACCATCGTGATCCTCGGCCAAGCGAAGATGAACCTGGCCGCGACTTGACGTGTGCCAATCGAAGCATTGAACACATCATCAAAGCCAGTTCATGGATTCTGGGCCTTGGAGCTTCCTGCCGCCAGGGCGAGCAGTTGCCAAACGCCATCTGGACAGGTCGCCCAGATGCTGATGAACTCATCATGAAGGACCCACGGGCATACGCAAGCCATGTTCCCCGAAACACTGATCACTGCGGCTGGATCGTGGGAACGCGCCTCCGTGACTCTCTGCCTCAGCGGATTGCTTACAGGAATCTTCCCCTGGAACTCTGTGTGAGAGAGACAAACCACGACACAAACGTGACAAACGACAAACAAGTGCCAGCTAGTGTGCTGTTTGCAGCATGTGCCTCTTACAGGATGCATGACTGATTGAAGAGCACGAGGTCCCGACCCGCAACCCAGGAGCAAAAGCAGCGATCAAGAGAACCTGTCCGTCGCACAGATGGCAACTGCCTTGGCCTCGGGTTCTTCGAATGTCAAGTTGCCTGAGCAAGCATCTCTCTCCATCGCCGCACAGCGATGGTCATCCGAGACTTCCTGAAGATCTGGACAGCTGAAGAGCGGAAGAGAACTACCTGTACTGTCAATCCGCGGCAACATCACCCATGCCACTTGCAGGTGCTTTCAGGCCTCGCAACCTCGTCTCTCAGCTGCGCCGCGGCTTGCTCAAAGCCCTTCCTCAGATTGACCCCTCTTGCACGGAGCAGGTCAGATCGTCCAAAGATCTGCAGCCGAGGTGCACCTCTTCCTCCATCTTCTCTTGCCTGGCGACACCACGAGAATCCGAGATACTCTCCTCCCACGACGCGGTGCGGAGGTGCGGGCTGGCCGCTGGCCTCTGCCGTTCCCGGACTTCGTGCCAGACCCGCTTTTCGTTCGCGAGCTGCATAATGCGATCTAGGCGGGACGCGACTTCCACAGACACGACTGTTGATCTTGCATGAAAGAGCTCCCGGCCAATGTTGACCGGTTTCTTCTTTGCAAGTACCTAACGCCGTGCGAAAGGACCCAAATTCCACCCTGATCTGATCCGCGCTTCGAAAGGCTGTCGGTGCGTCAACAGGTGCCTCCTGCTCTTCCTCTTCTTTCGGCGTCGGCTTGGCAAGTCGATCGATGTACTGGGAAGCAGGAAAGCATCGCATGCGATTAAAGATGGCAGCTTCGAGTCGTCCTCGGGATCGTGGCTCCGAGCCGGTTTGGCCACAACTGGCTCAGCCTGTCGAGCAGACGCGACACCTTCATTCAAGCACCAAGATTTCACGTCTCTTCTAAGTGTGCACCTCGCGGCGCGCGGCGCGGCGCATGGCGTCCTCGTAGAGCAGCCGGTGCACCGGCCCCGGCCCAGCAGACCTCGCGTGCAGATGCAAGCAGAGAGACGAAGGTGAAATCTTGTGAGCTGGCCGTGGCGAGTCAGGCCGCGGATCTTTGTCAGCTTGGGTTTGATGACTCAGCATCTCCTTCGTGTGCGGCATCATGGTCTTCGCCGGCTACTGTCGGATCTGTAGATTAGCCTCTCCGATCGCTTCTACGGGGCTTTGATCTCTCTGAGTCTTTAAGGCTGTCTTTATCTTGAGCAGTGTATCGGAAGAGTGCTTCTGAAGCTCCTCCACCTTGCGCTCTTGCTCCTCGCGCAGCCGCTTGAAGACCTGGTATAAAACTGTTTGTCATGATTTGAAGAGACACCTATGCATGACCCAGAGTCTGTGCATGGTTGCTGCTACAGCCGTTCCCAGAAGACTCGCAATAAAGCAGGTGGTTCTGTGTCTGCTGTCCTCATTGCGATAAACTGTATCAGCCTAGGTGACTTCATAGAGGCCCTCTTGCACATCGGATTGATGCTATGCCGGCTTGTGGTCAGAATAGTATCCGACCTTCGATGTTGTTCATCAAACCGTTGTGTGGTGCACAGGCACCGTCGCTGGAGAGAAAGGCTGAGTGCTGCTTGGGAGCAGCCGGAGTCTCGGTCCACACCCGGCGAAGGCGATGGATACGATCGCCTCATCGGTACAAACATCTGGAACAATAAAATCAGGCGGACTCAGTTGGACATCCAGCTGCTGTCTTTCTCTGCTCGTCCTTTCTCGTCCTTGATGCCGACTTTCGCTGTCGCCTTCTCGCCTTCCAAAGTGGACCGATCTTTGAGAGCGTGAAACAAGACTGCCTCTTGGTCGGAGGTCCTGCTGTCTCGGCAGGTATATCGTCTGGGCGAGCAGCAATTAAGTACAGCCACCTGGCGCGAACGAAACCACGGAAATTTTCGTCAGTTGTGTTCCAAGACTGGGCCAAGTTACTTCGCGACAGAGCATTCATGTTTTCTTTCCTTTTCGCCAGGCCTGTCACTTCTTTTGCAACAACCCTAAACCTTCCTTCGTTGCCTGGTTCCCATCTTCTCGGCCCTCCAGAGGCTCACTTCAGTTGACGTGGCGGGCACACTTCAATCCGTCCAGCTTGACCTCAATCTGCCGACATGTCGAACGAGAACCCGAACATGAGCGTTGCAGGGCTCCGGCCACAGCATTTGCAGACGTATGAAACTGGGTGCACAGACCTGTGCGAAAGCTCTTAAATCATTTCAAGCCAAGATGTTTGGAACTCGGGCTGTGCCTGGCTCCCCATGGCACAGCATCTCGAAGATGTGCGGGGCCTGCCGCCGACGTAACGATATCCCTGCATTCGCATGGCCAGCGTTTCGCGCCGACTGACATGCTAAAACTTGTCTGCCTCTGCAGGGGGCGCGAGCTTTTGCACGACGGCTGCGAGGCAAAACTCGTGTCGAGTCAGCCTGCACGAGGACAAAGTGCTCACAATAACCATGAAACACCCGCCAGGGGAAGCGCTGATGCGACATGTGGCTGGCTTACTGGCCTTAAAGATCGGTCGAGGTCCAAGATGCGCAACATGGACTCCGCCACAATGTCGGCAACTGCCAAGGTCCAAGGTCAGCTCGGATCGATGAGCTAGTGGGCTGCTAAAGCTGCAACTTCATACTCTAGCACAACTTGTCCACACAGGGAGCTTCTGCCTAGTTGCACATTGGGCATGAAGCTGCTGTTTGACTGATCCAAGTTTTTCTGGACAAAGCAACGGAGTTCTGATCCTGAGGCCCAAACTGCAGATATTGAAACTCAGGATAGATCGGACCCAAGTGCAGGTCGGGCGTTGGAGTTGGGAAAAGGAAGGAAATATTAAGGCTGACGGTACGCACTTCCCCGATTTGGCGCGTTGAGGGATCGCTGAGGAACTGACCTCCAGAAACGAGCTGGTTGCGGAACAGAGAACTATAGATAAACAAAACCGAGAACAACGACAGATTTTGCGGAAGTCTCTCAGACCACTCTCTAACACCTTCAGTAACGCAGCTACTGTACCCTCGGGTAGCCACTCTCAGCGGGCCTTCCTTGCCCTTTGGCCGCTTCGGAAGGCCAAGCTCCAGAGCTCTGGCGAGAAGCGCAGCTCGGAAGCGCATCAGTACAGCCTGGCAGTCTTTGGACATCCTTGTCTATCGTCCGTGTCACCAGGTGTGCGCATGTGTGGTATCCTGATCACCATGACTTACCGCTACCGATCAAGAGTAATTATGATTGCGTGCATGTGGCATTTTTATCTTCATGGCTCTACTGAGCACCAGAATCACATTGCAGTAGATACTAGTTGATACTAGTATTCCAGTTAGCACAGCATGCTGCAGGAGTCCTGAGTAAAGTATGAGCCTATGAGCATGCTATTGTGAACATGTTCACCACCCCCTTCACAAGTATCAGACTGTAGTAGTGAACGGACGCAGTCACACTCATCTTCCCGAAATCTCCATCATGCGAGTCAAGCACATGGAAGAAGGGGATGATGTTTTGATGCTGACCGAATTCTTGATAGTGGCTGCCAGTGGAACCGATCGTATCGTGCCCAGTAGAGGTTGCAACAACAAAGAGCATAGTTAAGGACAGCAACATGGTCGACATCAGCAGCTGCAGTTGCCCATACCACCAGCACCACCAGCAGAAGCAGCAGCAGTGCCGCCACCACGACCATGCCAAGACCAGAACCACCACCATGCCGGCAGCAGCACCACCAGCAGCAGCAGCACCAGCACCGGCACCGGCAGCACCAGCACCGGCACCAGCAGCACCAGCAGCAGCACCATCACCACTACAACCATAATCAGGTCATCATCATTGATCGATTTCGTTGCTATTGCTGCGTTCATTCATTCTCGATGACCTACACCATCGGTTTTCGTTTAACTTTGGCCATTGCGACCGGTTGGCAATGTCGCGCTTGCTTGCTATTACATCTCGTTCTTGGGCAAGTCTAACAGCATGTTCACCCGTGACTGGTTCGCAGCTAGCCAATTTGGATGTTAATTCCCCAGAGTTGCCTCAGCCTTTTTAATTCCGCGCTTCCTTGGCAGACTCACATGAGAGACTGAGGGATGCATCAGATTTGCAAAGCCTGATTGGCGACCAGTATCGACCAGCCAAGGAAAAGTGAGCTTTCAAGTTTGGCAGAGGACATCGGAACATGATCGAACGTGGACGCATCTTCTTTCTGGCACCACCGCGGTTCCTACAAAGTTTATGAAGAGCTTGCCACAGGGACACATGTCTGCAGCATCTTTACCGATTCCTGCTCTGCCACTTCCGGTGTGCGAAGATACAGTACACCCGGACACTCACACATACAGCTTGGCAACTGCCTTAGGCAGAAGGTCGACCAGTCTGCTCTAATCCTCTCTCGACGGAGTCGCAACGTGGTGCAGTAGCTGCACTTGCTAGGCAAGTACTCGCCAGAAAGTGTCCGTCCGCTGCGTCTGCATCACCCGGCTTCATGCCACTGAACCTACGCCTGGCCAACGGGAGCTATCTTCCTTGGCAAGTTATCAGACTCATGGAGAAGACATGTGCTAATGCTTGCGAAACACCCATTCGCGAGTTCGGTGGCATCAGAGTGAAGCGGGAAACGAGGCGCTTCAAGCGTCGTTGGCATTTTAAACTGAAGTTGACATCTGCAAGACGTGTGTATGCTTGCTGGTCAGATGTCGTCAGTACTGCGCAGCCACTCGCTGAACTGCCTACCATCCGCAGATGTTGTGCTCTTGGCACCAAGAGCATCACGCAGACGCGTTGTCTTCGATCTGGCCTGATTGCAATCGGTGTGCACCCGCCAAATCTCGACAGAGTTGCAGTAACCGGCCTTGGCCAACAAGTTCGCCGGTGAGCTCTGTGCCACGGGCATCGGCCGAAAGCCTGGCAAGAAGCGATGGAAACTGTCATAGGCTTGGACGATGCAGCTTTTGCCATCGCAGCCCCGACATCGCTCCTTGAGAGACGATGAGATCATGCAGTTTGGCGACCTCTTCCAGCATGCAAGCCTAGGTTTGCGATCTGGTGTCTTGCCTGTAGGCCCATGAATTCAAGGCTTGCTGCAATCTGGTGGCTACATCCAAGCTTTTGGCTGAGCCCTTGAGCCTGCCGACCCCGCGTATCAGCTCTTCCAGGGTTATCCTGCCGTCTCCTCAGATGAGCCGAGTGTGGGTTCACATGCCGCGAGAGCTGCGCAGTCTGCAGGATTTCCATGCATGCCATGCTGTGCGTAGAAAACTCCCCAGTATTGCATTCCAGCCACGTCTTGAGCTGTCGATCAACAAAAAAAGCTTGTCCGGGTCGGACACATCTAATTCCATTGCCTGCAACCAAGCGGAGACTTCCTTGTGCTCGGTCATTTGCCTGAACTCATCCTCGGAGTCACGGGTGGGTCGCATGTCTGCGAAGTCTACATGTCATCCAGTCGTGGAAATTCATCTGCTGCTTCTGTTGTGGAACTGTAGGACCGTGGGAGTGGTTGCAGTGGAGAAACGAAGATTGATTCAAGCGGTTGGGGCTTCGCGAGCCGGCCTCCATCATTTCGGACTTCCGGGAAGACTTGTGCCGGGCGTGCGCAGGAGGCTTTAACTCTCTAACTTTAACCATCCCGGAACCTCTCGTTTGCGAAAGGTGCTGGGCCCAAATTCTGTATGACTCAGTGCCATTACCAAGCGGCGACCTGTGAGCTGGGCACTTATATGCCTTCAGTGTAGTGCATGCTTGCCACTTCGATTTTCAGACCCACCCGCACCGTCCTAAATATTTACACATATTGTAGTGGTGGGGTGATTCGCACCGCCTCGCATCGATGGCATCTGAGACGTTTTCGATTCGATGGACGTCGCCGCCTGCCGCTACGCATCCAAAAAGGAGCTTCAGTGTCCTGCGCGTAAGCGAAATGTCTGTCTTCTGCGCCATACTCAGCAGAGTGTTTGTTGAGATATTCTGTGGATGGAGCTAGCCTTCCACACGGATGTGAGCCACGACCCTAAGCTGCCACACGATTAACAATGTTGCTGACAGGGGCCACACCGCGCGTGCACGCCGCTCACACCCTTGTTCGAAGGTCTCAACTGCAAGCCCCTCACGGTCCCGACGCCGAAGCTGCATCACAGATCAAACATCTTACGGCTTGACAACAGGTTCTGTCTAAACACCAAGGCACTATGTCAATGGCGCCATCACTGGACTTGTCTGCCAGGTGGAAAAATCGCTCCATCTTGAGGCGATGCATTTGAAAGTTGCGTTTGCGCTTCTGGATCATGACTCGGTCATCCGAAGCAGCGACATTGAATGTCTCCTGCATGAAGACACCGTTCACCTTGGAGGCAGGAAGTGCCGAAGGCTTCTTTCTCAGAGCTTGAAATGAACGCATGAATCAGGCAGGACCGCTTCTTGGAGATGGACCTGGGCCAAGCAAGAAAAGTTGATAGACTCTGGCTCCAAGAAACAACGCTCACCACTGCAAAGCCAATGGTCAGCTTGTGGAGAACTCCGAACAGCATGAACCACTCGGAGACGTTTTCCGCCAGTAGTCTGGAGGCCGGAGGCCAGTTGGCCAGGGTGATTTCAAACATGCTGTATATGGACCTGCAAACGGGTGTTATACTGCCAAAAAGAGGCGAACCGTTTTGGGCACACCGTTGCCGATTCATACGTTCAAGTGCCTCTTGGACCTTCAAGACTGTGTCGGAACATACCGATTTCAGAGAATACTTCAAGACCGATGGAACAATAGAAAGCATCCTGAAGAGTCTTGTGAGAATCCATTCAAGCTCGCGGGTTTCGGTCGAGAGGATTCGCACTCCGTCCTCTGTTCTACACCAGCGCGACATCGTTGGAGTTTCTTGCTCTGCTCGCCGGACGTGGCTGCACTTTGCTATGAGGTGGGAGTCACATGGACCATGCAGATTGCATATGCAGGCTGTGCGTTTGGGACCTTGTGGCCCTAACTGGAGGCTTGCAGGACACTGTGGAAGATGGCGACCTCCAGGATCTCTGGACGGATGGTAAGATGATTGTCGATGCGCTTGCGGAGCACGAGTCTTCGCGAAAGGTAAAAATTGCCGAGCGAGGCTGCCTGAGCGAGCACCTGGCAGTGTATGGCGCGGTGACGTTTGAATCTCTGCTGCGTGGAGTCCTGCTCGTAGTTCGCCTCATCCGACTCCGCGAGGACCATTCTTGAGCAGTAGTTTGTAGCTGCGTCTTCTTAGGATTGCATAGTCCTTTGCCTTAATTTAATTGCGTATCTTCCCTGCCTGCAATAGGGTTCTGCCCGATTTGAGCCTTTGGTCCAACACCAGTGGATCCAGTGGCATAGTGCCTCTGTGAGGGTTTGTTACACTGGGGCCAGGCTGACCGCACACATGTGCGCGGCAAGGTTTAATCTTGTGAGCAGGATGCGCCACTTTGTGGAGGGTCTTTGACGTTGTCTTAAACCAAAGCCCTAAACCCTTAAAGCGTGCCGTGCAGGGCAGGGCGGCGTGCGGGAGCCTACCGTGGTGCACGTTTCGACGCGACGCGTGCATGGGTGGTTCAGAGCGGCAAGCCGAGACATGGGGGCACAGCAGACATCCCGAAGCCGAACGCATTGGCATTTTCTCAATGCCGATGGACCACGAATAAGCATGCACAACAGAATCAGCATCCACGGCAAGCACGATAGCTCAACCCATTGAAAACAGAAACCGACAAAGAAAGGGAAAGGGAACCTTGGGGGGGGGCCTTGATTTGTCCAAGAAAGAACAATGTAAAAGACCAACTCCCGCAAGCTCCAAGGAGCTACCTGTAGCTTTCGTAACATATATAGCGGCCCAAAGAGCTTGACACAAGCTTTGCAATATTTGTCGGGGTTCCTTATTATAAGTATAGCATAATGGGCCCCAAAACCCTATTTTTAAGCCCCCTGTATCACCTTTTTTGTAGTTTCTGATTATATTGTGATTGTACACTCTTTGGGCTTTTGGGCCTGTGCTGCAATCGAGGGGTTTGGCTGAGCGGTGTACCAGATATCCTCCCTAGTGCACAGGCGCCGCGATTACTGCACAGAGAGGTTGGGACTTTTCGGCTGTTGCTAGAGTTCATGGCATGATTCTTGGGACGGGTAGGGCTCTACGGTCCGATCAGGAACAGGAGGAACTACTGTTGACGCAACATCCGAAGAAGCCCTCGGATTGTGGATGTCCCCGGAACTTGCGGCTAGGGCTTGAGCGAGTTGTGGTGGCAGGGCAGAGGCCCCCAAGGTCTCTGGGTATTGGCCCAGTTAAACTGTGCACCATTGGGCATGTTGCATGTCGACTTCATAGATTGAGGACTATCGGATGTCCATGGTGTTGGAAATATTCCTAGTGAAGTCTGAACTTCAATAAACTCTGAACACACAACTTTGGCCCTAAACCCTAGTGGATCCTGAGCCCCTAGGCCTAAACCATCAGGTCGAGTCCCGTTAGTTCGATTGCCTTGGGATCTCAGCCTGAAGCACCATCTATATTGTAGAGCGATATACATGATAAAACGCCATACGACAAAAATACATACGATGTGCGTATATAAGTAGATATGCATGTGTGTATATATATATATATATATATATATATAAGTGCATACATGCAAACATATTTGCACATATGTGCACTGATCTGTACATATGTATGTATATTTCCATAACCTGTTTATCGATTTATAACTGTACATGTACAAAGGTAAATCTGTATGTATGTATGCATGTATGTATGTATAGGCGTGTATGCATGTGTTGCATGTACATAATGTCTTACATAATGTATGTGATACACACGCACATTTGTGTATGACATAAATACGGACATACATATGCACACATCTGGGCTTACTCTTGTTGCTCTGCTATTGTTGTTGTTGGAGATATGGTTCTCCAGCTATGGTCTCTGCAAACACTGCTGTTGCCAGCAGCAGCACTCCAAAGGCAGGTTCTAGCCTGCTGAAGGTGCCGAAATATTCGAACACGGCCTGTCCTCGGATCTCTGAAGGCATCCAAACAAAGAAGCGGAGCAGGCGAAGGTCTGCAACGAAAACCTATCTCTGCCGAGAGTCGATTCGCTTCTGAAATGGACGCGTCGTTGAAATAGTACTGCGTCAAGTAGCCATTTACGAGCAACGCCAAGCCCATCTGTAGGAAGAAGAAGAGAACACATGCCTGTGGTTTCATGCTAATTATGCCTTTTGGCGTCGAGCCTCTACTACCGGAGCAGACGCCCAGCATGAACCTGTCGGACATGACATGTTGCATCCAAGACGCCCACGCTAGGATGGACAAGCTACCGCTCAGTGCTGTTGTGATGATATATAGCGCATCCAGACCTTGGGTGCATGCGATGACCGTGGTATGTACCGTTCCTGACATCTCGCACACAAAATCACACCAAACTAAGTCAATGCCGCTAATTGCTAGCGGTTATTGCAGCTGTGCTGTGGTAGTGGTGGTGGTGGTGGTGGTGGTGGTGGTGGTGGTGGTGGTGGCGGCGGTGGAGGCAGCAGTGCTGGGACTGGCGCATCCTACTCTAACAACATTGACACTTGAACACACCTGGCCGCGGCACACATTTCCATCCACTGCTCTGAACACAGGGGTCTTGCGGTTTTATCGTTCTGTTTGGATTCGCAGTTGCGGTACATCAGCTGCTACAGTAGCATTCGTCGTGCAGGAAAAACTGGGATGACCGAGTGTGGCGCTCTTGATGGCCTGCATGAGCTGCACCAAGCCTTCAGGAATGACAGGTGTATGACTGTATGACATCACTAATGAGAGAGCGTTCAGGAATTCGGGGTGCAACCAAGGCAGATGTGCGGGTATGCGTCAGACAAGCAGCGAAGTAGACGGACAAGCCGCGCAACTCGCAGCAGTGTGGCATCGACTGGCAAAATAGCACCGGCGGTAATATCGATTAGCCAGAAAAGAATGATCACCAAGTCGACCCAGTTCCAGGCGAACCTCAGGGCGAGTAAGCAGCATTCTGATGGAATGTTCTAAAGTGAGTTTAGGATGCGAAGTATGAAATTTGACATCGGACAAGTTGCTTGAAGAAGCTCCGCCGCTGACCGGCCAGCTTCAGCATGAGTTCTAGTACATAGACAAATCCGAAGGCAAAGCCGATCCACACAAATGATTGCTCTGCCGACGTCCAGGAGGCTACATAGCCCGCATCAATTTTGCCAAAGTTGATTGATGCACCCACGGAAAGGCCCTGCCATTGTGCTTCAATTGCCATCGCGATTGTGTTCAGAAAGATTATGCAAGCAACCACAATGTCGAACATTGGGTGCCTGGTGATCTTCGTTACGGTGAACCAGAAATCCGATGACATTTCTATCGCTGTGGATTCGAACAAGCCCGACTTCTGAATCCCAGACTGTGACGACACAACCGGCAGCCAGGCTGTTCGGTTTGCGGGAACAGGCCGTGCAACAGGAACGTCACTTGCGGCTACTGAGGAAACAGATGGTACATCATCAGGAACGCCGCCGTCTCGTTTCTGGTCTTTCTCTGGGTCCTGGCACCCTTCGAAGACATCCAGTCGCGCGAGCAGACGCTGATTCTCATCATGCAGCCGCTGTAGATCCGCAGCGTGCACTTCCCAAAGCTTCCTGAGAGTCTCAGAAAACGCCTTGGTGGCGCCTGAAGGTTCGTGGGGTTCCAGAATCTGCGATGGAGACGGCAAGGTCATCCGGCAAATGCCACATTCACATTGCTCTCACCAAACTGTGTACATTGCATACGCTGCGGGAGAATTAACAGAAGAACATGCAGCTACATTGCTCCTGAAATCCTTCCAGAGTGACATTGCACCTAGCAGCCTAGCATGGTAGTGCATCAGAAGGCTACCTCGGTCTCTGAGTCGACCTCTGCCAGGGTGACAGCCTCATCAAGGCATGGATAAACACAAGCCGAATGGATTTCGTAGATTTTAAAGGGATATAAAGAGATTATGTATCCAGCAGCATTCTCTTCAGAGCTTCAATGCCTGTCCAATAGCTTGAGCTTTCGCTCTGCAAGTCCCCAGCAGCATCGCCATAGGGACCATTCAACGCGTACCAAAGCGTGCGGACGTTCTCTTGGAACCTGATGGCGTTTATCTCATGTCTTCGCAACTCGGAAATCAAGAACATCTTCCAGACTCGCAACGCGAAGACATCCTTTTTTACCGCCTGCCGTGCCGCCAAAATCCTTTGGAATGGGAGTTGATGGATCTTACAGCTGCGTTCTTGTCCGCAAGCGGGCGGTCGAAGTTTCTCCGGCGGAACTTCCTGCGACAAGCGCGAGTGGTCCCTTTAGCCGCAGCATGCATCCCATCAGCCTGAAGGTCAGATGGCTGCCCTCGACTGCTGGACTGTAAGACGCGAATGCTCCTTGAGGGTGGGCGAACCTTTGCCAGGGCGGCTGCTGCCTGCAAGGGCGAGAGACGCATCCTACATCTGCTTCGGGATGCTTCGGGGAACGGACCAGAAAGCATGGTTGATCAGTCTTCCTAGACGACAACGAAAGATTCCCTGTTTGTGGACATTTCCGTAGATTGATTGATTGATTGATTGATTGACTGCCTGTGGGTGCGAACACCCTTGCAATTGCAAGGCACAGGAGGGCTGGCCCGTGTCATACACACAGACAGCGCTCGCACACTGCAAGACTGCACGCGGGCAGAGTGGTTCACCGCTCTGCACAGCACAAACAATCTGGACATGGCATTTCCGTAGAAGCCAGAAGCCGAGACTTCGGAAACTCTTGCTTTTGTGGCTGCCCCTTTGCTGTGCGGGGTTAGTGAACTCTACGCCTCATCCGGCTCTGGCAGCTCCTTCACGTTCAGGACGAGGCGCGTCCGATCCACGATAGTACTCCTCAGGCACGAGCCCGCTGTGAGCGTCAGATCGTTTCAGGACACAAGCCACAGAGATATCAAGCAAGGCAGGTCTTCAAGTGTCGTTGAGACCCGCCGGATTCACTATCTGAATCTCGCTTGATGAGTTAGACGGTACCAAAGGAGGAAGGGCCTCCTTACCCTAGGCTTTAGGGCCTCAAGCCTGGGCAGCCTTCCTTCACTGCAGGCACTGCAGGCAGGGCACGCGGGGAAAGGTCCGATCTCGCGAGCTAGCTCCATGCCTCAGTGCGACAGCTTCTTCTCTCTGCTTGGATGCCACCTGGCCCTGCCTCCTCCTGGCTCCTAGCTCTGCATTCGCGCGGGGTACCTTGGTAGCCTCAGCCCTGTCACTGTGCCCAACAAGATGGAACGCTACAAGCCCGAACCGATTTCGATTTCGCTTGGCTGAGAGGTTAGCAAGTCTTCTGGCGATGTAGCCGTGCATGGAAGCACTTTGGACAACTACCCAACTACTGAATTGAATGTTTCGAAGAAGCCCAGGCATGGCACTCAAAGCAGCAGCAATAAAGCCAGGGCTCTGCCCATGTCAGTTTTCCAAACTACGCCAGATCACCCCCGAGCACGACTCACTCGTGTTTCAACTTTTCAATGGACAGCTCCCGTCCGCGAAGCTCGGATCGCTGAGTTCAGAACCGCTCCGGCCTTGAAGCCAAATCAGCGTCGGAAAGCCTGTGGCAGTCGACAAGTCTAGAAGGGAATGTAAGGCTGGATACATAAAGCTCTGGCACCTCTGACTGCAGTCAAGTCTCGAGTGACGCCAAACTCGGTCATGATCTCGTCGTTTTTCCGGCCATCAACAGTGACAATCCGAGCAGCACGTAGAAGGACTTGCGCAGCCCCTTCCAGCTGGTCCCTTCCAGGCGGCTCTCACACCTCTCGTGCTCTCCTGCACACAACAGCTTTGCGCCTGAATCTCAAATGTCGGGGACTCTGCTCGTCCACCACCGCCAGCAACAAAACCACGTCGCTCGCCTCAAAGCCGACTGGGACTCCGACAGAACAGCGCGCTTGTGCCTTCCTTCTCTTTCTTTCCGACTTCTCAAAGTCGCGCGTCCGCGTCCGGTCCGAAGCCGAGGCGCCGCTTCCCTTTCGACTCGGAACTGACGCGAAGAGAAGCTCTGGATCACTCCTGGAAAAGGGCCGAGACAGAGACACACGGACAGGGAACTCCGCCGTGGGCTTCAGGTGGGTGCCAGTGCTGTCGGCGCTGTTTTGAATCCGGCCGTCCTGGAGTGACTCCTTGCCGTGTAGGGCTGTAGTCTTGCTCCTTCTCGAGCTCTTCCAGCAGCGCCTGGGAGGAAAATTGCTTGTCACAGCTGCTCGCACTTCGCATGGGCTAAAGTTCCATGTAGTGGTTCCCGACCTCTCGAAGGCCTTGTATGTCAATGGCGGAGATGACTTTGTGATGGCACCTGAAACCGACTCCACGTTTACGCTACTGCCGAGACGGCAAGCATCCTGCGTTTTCGAGCATCACACAAGCTTGGAGCTGCACTGCCTCTGGTCTAACTCCTCCATTAGCCTCCGCCCTTGGCAGCAGAGAGCAGTCTCAAATTTCTCTGCAACACCTGCGGACGAGCACAACCACTGAGACCGAAAAGTCCAAAAAGCTCAAGACCGAAAGGCCGATATCGCCAGTGTCGCTACAAAGCACTAATGCAGCCTTTGCAGACTCTTTGACGTCTCATATCTGGAAAGGAACTGGGCAAAGCCTCTAAACGTGGGAGCCTTGTTTGGTTCAAGCGGGTATCTCTCTGGGCTAGCTGCCATGGGTCTGATGGGAAATCTGGAACAGGCAATCTTTCCCTCACCTGCTCTGAACATTCGGGGGAGCCTTGTTACATAGTAGCTCCACCTCCTCAGCCTCCTACATTTGCAAGACAGATCGTCGGGCCCATGTTCCTATCGACTCAGCAAACGTCGTGAACCGTCTGCATGGCTATCCCTCATCTCGCTAGAACCTGAAATCATCCAAGCAGCTGCCAAGTCCGTACACCCACATCAGCATGTCCTGCAAAGCCGGCAACATGTGGCGAAGGGATGGCCTGGGATGATAGAGGGTTGATATCGCTGCAATGCGACAAAAGGCATGCCAAGTCCTTGGAAATCCCATCTGCGTAGGTGTTGTTCTCGTCCTCTAGGATTTGCCTCCGCGATTGGCAAGAAAGCTATTGACAATGCTCACGAAACCGTTTTTGCTGGAAGCCTGACTCGCGACACATCTCGTGATCGGAGGTAGTCAGTGACGCCGTCCACATTTCGGAGCAACAAGTCCACCTACAGAAGCAGAGACGCCCCGCACGCTTACATTAATTACATGTGATGAACTCCTTGCCAGCTCAATCTTAGCTGAGCTGCTTTTCCCCAGGATGGCCAGCGTTGGGCCACCCCGAACCTTGCGCGTCGACTTCAACAGTCTTGTCATGCCTTACCGGTTACCATGGTTTCAAGTATGCTTTGTGCTGAGGCGCTTGTCCGGCTCATCGAGCTTAGCATCTTGACGCAGCAACTTCTGCCCGGGATTCGAGATCCGTGTGCGCAGGGCCGTCCCGCCTCCTGTTTTGTGCTGGAGAATCAGTGCAGAGCACTTCTCAGAGAAAGATAGAAGTAGTTATACACTTCGTCGAGTTTGCATGGCGCACCGTGCCTGGAGCTGACATCATCTCGTTGTACAGGTTGCGCGCAGGATCTGCGTGCTCATCCTCCGGAGCCGAAGATTCGCGTATCTCTTGAACAGGACATGGCTTGACACACCCCGTGGAACGTCCTCGTACTTGGCCATTCCTGCAACGCAACACCACGTCTGAAGCATTCCTCAGCTCTGGGATCAGGCCTGCGTCGTCTTGGTACCACCGGCGGCCACCGATATTCTTCGGAGGCAGCCATCTGGCGCCCTGTTGAATGGTCCACGTCATGTTAGTACCTTTGCAAGGCAGCTTGTAAACCACAAGGACTGTAAGCCTCCCTGCTTCGGCCTTCCGGTGGTTCCATAAACTGGGCCCCTGCATTGTAGCACACCTCCACTTTTCTATGTTCAGGAAGGGAGACGCACAAACGAGGCATGTCTATGCCAGCCTGCTGGAGCCACTGGGTGCTCTCCTTGGTGAAGTTCTCAGGCAGCAGCTGCCCACCAACGAAGACGAAGGGAGTGCCCGCGGCGTCCGCCATCCTGTCACGAGCTGTGCAGCTTCGAAAGGACTCGCAAGGTACCTTAAACTAAGCAGCATCGGCCTGCGGTGGTCTTCCCGCAGCTGCTCCAGCAACGCATCGCCGGCCGAGCCCAGGCGGTCCAGCTCGAGCAGATCGAAGCGAACACAAGCCTCCTCCAAACACTTTTTGGCTTCCTTAGCGGCTTGCGGTGCTCAGTCAACTAGCAGTTCCCAGCTATGGGCGACCACGTCCCGAATCCGGAGACAACCACATCTTCATGAAATCCGAGCGAGCCACGCGCAAGCTGGCGCCCTCGGACTCGGAGATCAAGACTACCGGGCTCTTCGACAACTCCTGGCTTGAAGAGGGTAGTCACAGAGTTCTTGCTCGAAGCGTCTCGTGCCTGCGCTAACCAGTCTGATGCCCAGTCGTCTGCTGCCCGCGACTGCACGGCCTGCACAACTTCGACACTGTCTTAGCTGAGCCCGGCTCAGGCTCTGTGACAGTCTCTTGCGCAAACTCTCATCTTCAAGAGCGGATGCCTTTCTTTCAGAGTCTTGCTTCGAACTTCTGCTCCACAGCCTGCCGAAGCCCCTACCCGTTGCTTCTTAGTGTCTCCACACTCCGCAGGTTCAAGCCTGGGCCGAACTCCGGCCGTGCAGAAGGCAGCGGAGCCCTCAGCATACGACGGCCATGGAACTTGCCATTGCATCTTACATCTGGTAGCTGCTGCTGTGTCACACAAGCCACGGCACAAAGCCAGACCACCGACAGGCGTGGTACCCGAATCCTTCAGAACCGATCTTAGCACGTGGGTAAGCAAGCGCACTATCCTGGTCGCAGCTACTTGCCCGGTCCTGGTGCGGCCACTCGCACGGCCCCACGGCATCACAGCAGCTTGAAAGTGGTCCGTGCTGATGCTTCTCTGCTTGCTCGCTGCTCACTCCGTCGGATTGGTTTAGAGTAGAGTCTGGGCCACGCCATCGGACAGGAGCCAGCATGGGCATAAACTGTAGACTGGTCGTCTTAAACTTAACGGCTGACGGATAACGCGGCTGGATCTGCATGTGCTTCGTTCGCCTTAGGCACCGCTTGTGGTAGTGGGCCCAAGGGATCGGAAAATGCAGCCGTGATTCAGACGGCTTGATCCCTGTGAGCCGGCAGAGTACAGAGGCACGGAAGATAGTCACTGCATTTCTCACACATGCGGCTTCGCATCGTTAGGCACTTTAACCAGAAGCTCGGTTGCTGGGCATCCCGACCCAAGCTCTCTGCATCGCTGTGCCAGCTGTGGCAGAGTCAGCTGGCCACGGCTTTCTGGATCCTGCTCGAAGGAAGCAGCTTCATGCAAGCATGCACAAGGGATATGAGAAGAAACCATCAAGTATCGGCACATCTCGAGTTTTGTTCAAAGCACCACGGGGCCCTTGAACACCCACACAAGATCTCTCAAGGAGGGACGTCTGGTAGCATCCCCACGGTACATGACGTATCCAGGCAGCGAACACCAGTGCAAGCGCTCGGTCCAGAAGGTAGCGCCTTGGCTAAGGTTCGCAAACCCCTTGAGGCGGATCTCAAGCTGCCGGCTATGCGCGGGGCCAGGCACGAGCGTAGTTGCCTCCTGGCAAGGACTTGAGTGGCGACATCTCCTCATGCATGAATGGCTCAGGCGAGCCTCTTGCAAGAAGCATCTTCTTGAACTCACCTTTGGCTGGTGGCTTAAAAGCTTCGTGACACCACGCTCCTCATCAGCTCAGGCCGCCACCAATGATTTTGTCACCAGCTGGGCCAATCGCACTGCCATCGGGAACGAGCAAGACTGATCGATTTTTGTTCTTATTGCGAGTCGTGACAGTTGCCGGCCTGGAAATCGACTTCGGCATGGCCGGTTGCGCTCTGGCTTTCGGAGGTGTCTTCGACTGAGGCTCAGCTTCCTGCAGCTTTCGGGAATTCTCCCTGCTCGGAGTTCTAGAGTGCAGACTACAAGTAGAGTGGCACGGCAACTTGTCGGGTACAGCCCTGAGCGTCATCTGAAAGGTTACAGTCCTCGAAGCTTCTGATGTTCTCCAGCCAGAAATTGTCATCCTGCGCTATCCTGATGAGCTGTGCCCGCTGGTGCGCCTGTCTGCGTGCAATGAGCCGCGATGACTGCTTCTTGAAGTGTACCCGAGCCTCACTGGCTGCAGGGTTGGTGCTGCTGGCTGCCATGCGCTTCTGTGCAATGAACTTCGCCGAGGAGTCCTCGGGCATAAGGCCATTGAGCAGCCTACGGAAAACCCTGACACGTCTTGTCTCGGATCAAGCTGAGAAGGCAGCCTGTGTTCTCTTTACAGCAGCCATCCACTCTTTCCTGCCGGACACTTTTCGGGAATGTGGTAAAGGCAGACAAGTGCAGTAAGCTGGAACAGCTCAAATTTGCCAGCGTTCCTCTGCAATTGAGCTTGCTCTTTTGCTGCTGCTTGAGCCTGCTGGAGCAAATGGCTTCCTGCAGCCAGGAATTACCAAGATGCTGTCAGATTAAACCTTGCCCTGACTGGGCCCTAAGTGTCCTGCCTCGTACTAGTGAAACCGCTTCCACGGGTTTCTTCTTCACCCCGGCCGCCAGGGCGCGAGCCTGCTGGATCTCCCGGCGCGCGTTGCCTCACGTCAGGGGCAGCTGCAAGCACGCCCTTTTGAACCCATCATCTCCATTCTCACCAACATGCTTCAGAGGTGCTGCACTTTGTTGACGCTGCCGGGCTGGAAGCTCGCACGTACCTTGGCAGTGCTCTGCGCTCCACACTGCAGACGAAAAATGGTTGTCTGCAATCCTGCGTTGCGTGCACTCTTGGGCTCGCGGAATTGTTCCGCAGCTTGTCTGCCTCACCACATCAGTGGCAGCGTCGAAGGTCATTGCACCGGTTCCTGAAAACGTACAGGCCTTCTTCTTGGCCTCGGCTGTGAGAGGTGGTGTGTTCGACCTTCGCGTGCGTGCTCCTGGCGGCTCTCTTCGCCACCAACTTCTCGATTTGAAAAACAGACCGAGCGTCCGTCCTCTCGCGCTGCAGTGCGAGGGCCCTGTGAAAGGCTGAGGGGATGTACTCCGGGAGTTCGGTCGAATCTGGCAGTGGCAGAGCGAAGCTACTTGTACTGCATGGAAGCAGAGGCTTCGTTGCCAGACAGACGGGTGCGTGTGGCCTTGGGTGTCGCCCGTGGCGTTGCTGAGGCCGTGTCACCTGGATCTTGAGCTGCTTGACATGGGAAAGCTTCAAGCGCTGATGCCTGCAGTATTCATATTTTGGTGATCCAGGGCTCAGGGGTTCAGATTCAAGGGGAAAAGAAAGCCTTGAGGGCTCCAGAGAGCTTAGCGCACATCGTAAGGCACATCACCGCACAGGCGAGCATGGGGCGACAGTCACAACCACGCGCACAAGAAACTTGCCGCCAGCATTGGTGCCGCAGCCCTACGAGGGAAGCCGCGATGGATGTCTTCAGAACATTCATAACTGCTCGAGACCAGTAGCACATGAAGGCAGAGGCAGGTCATTTCGGGCATGGAAAGATTGCCAAGAAGTTAGAGGACGGACAACGAAGAATGAGAACACGAATATTGCAACAAAACAGGAAAGAACGAGAGCAATTGACCCCCGAGTTGTTGCGAATCGGAAGCTTCCACCGCATTCTGAAACAGCTCCGAATGGGACTTTCACAAATTTATGGATTTGGAGGCAGAAGTCATGATGTTGCAATAGTCTGATACTGATACTCGTAAACCCAAAGTAGCCGGTCTTTGACCCTACGAAAACCTAAGCTCTCAGCAGAACTCTATGCACACTCCTTTGGAGATGGAGTCGAGCGGCCTTGCGGAAGTCCTTTGCCGGGGTGCCTGATGGAGTCATTCGCTTGACCTGCATCAGGCCGAGTACCTGTCGGACATGCAGATTCTAGGCCTTCTCCCTTAGTAGGCCCTTGGCTTTCATGTGGGGCTCAAAACTCCAGGCCTGCGCGCTTCGCGGCTGCGGCGGCTACCTGGCTAGGAAGCACCAGTCTTGTCAGCATTGCAGGAAAATGTTCCAGACCTCTCTGGGGCTCGCTGCTCTGAGATGCTCGGGCCTCCAAGCTGCTGTATCACAACCACAATAGCGCAACAGATCACCCCAGAAAATTATTCGGCATCAGGCCTCGGTGGTGGGCTTTCACTCGGTTGATGTCGTGGGACACGCCTAACAGGCAGGCTGCCGCCACCACCTTAGACTTGTGTGTCAAATCAGACCCTCGACCAGTACTTCCACTGAGAGACGGCTGTACATGCATGCATTGGTTTGTTGTCTTCGGGTTGACTGGACGTGGGCTCCTCAAGGCTTAAGCAACTCTGATGGCCACAACAAGTTTGAAGGCGACAATGGAACTTGCTGCTGCGATCAAAATGCCCAGAGTGATGAAGCTAACGTGCATCTGGACAACGATCGGCAAGACAAAGACGCCGATGAATTGCCAGGCCACTGCTAGAGCTCGAAGCCCTCCGTTCCACTCCCGCACCTGGCAGCAATGAGCGAAGACCTGCAGAAAGAGGAACCGTAAATCTGAAAGAAACCCTGCAACTCCAAAGCCCTAAACCGCGCTAAACCCTAGCCCTGTTCTTTGCAGGCCTCCAGCAAGCCTCACCAGGTTGGGCTCCGGCTGCTGAGCAAATTCGTTCATGGGCAGTCATCCCGGAAGCGTCGACAAGCAATGAAAACGTGTAGCTGAGTGTAGCGATATAGGCTATTCCCCGTAACTGAGCACTGCCGACGTGACGTGCACGGCATCTCAGACTTCTCAGAGCCTTGTCTTAGCCAAGTCATGTTAGCATGTCAAGTTCACTTTGGGCCGAATTGACGGCTTGACCGTCACATTCAAAACTACTGCTTTGTCAGGTGTGGCCCAATGCGAGGCATCGCCTTCCGGGAAGAATGACTGTGCAACAGCTCTTGCCAAACGCCTAGAAAAAGCAACGTCGCTACCTGGGCAAGCACAACACCTTACAACATGCCTGCAATGAAGTGCACCGTACCCAAGACCTTGAGAAAAGCAAACGTTGATACATTGGTCCCAGGGTTCCCGATCGAGAAAGAAAAGAAGCGGAACGGAGTTTTCCGAACATCTCACAAGGCTTCTGCTCAGACTTTTCCTCACTTCCTCAGGAAACAGTTGTCGAAGCACAACTTCTGCAAAGGAAATCATCTGCGCGATGCTGTGACAGAGCTGGGGGCACAACTTGGCTGGCTTTTTCGGACGGTATGTTCTGCTCAAGTGGGGGCGAGGATACCTCATCCCATGACCAAGCGTAGGTGCAAAGAGAGCCTCTACATGCCTCTACCGCGAGTTGCTGCGGCCGAGCCTGATTCCCGTCTCATCTTTCGGGACGTCTTCGTCGGGACCCACCTCCACGCCTGTCCTGCTTGCTCGCTGGAGCTAGTGCCAGGGCTGGGAGCAACTTGCAAAGCCTCTCCGAAGGTAAGTCCTGTAGAAATGCAGCCTTCGATCCACGTCGGTCGTGATCGTCTTGAAGCGAGAGCGCTTCGGCTCGTACTGTGGTCGCCTTGTCGCTTAGGTCTGAAGGCGTGCGATGCAGGGCTGCGACAGGGGCTCCCATTGGCCAAGTCACTTCACTCCATACCTTGATCGAGAACTCCTGAGTTGCTTTCGGCACTATGGTGCTGGAGGAGCCAGAGCAAGCCTGTGAAAAGCCCGGGGGCCGGACTTGCGATTCTTGACTGGAAGAAGGTCGTAGAGTCCACGCATGCAGGTGTAGTTGCATCCTGCCGAAGCACGACGTGGACAGTGCTGCACACAGTTTTCCACACTCACCACACAGGGAATCAGAAGCCAGGAGTGCTAGCTACGTGCAGAACATGCCAGCGGCTCCGGGCACATCCTTCCGTTTGCCACCTCTGACCATGACGACGGAGTGAACCTGGCCCGGCCCTCGAGAGTTCTGTTGGTAGCGGCTGTGAAGAGCACAGAAACTCGGATCAATGCATGTCTTGGCCACAAAGTCATCGAATGGGCAGTGCTCGAGATCCCCACCAACACACTTTGAGGGGCCTGGAGGTTGTGGCCAATGCCTGGAATATAGGCCTGGAGGCAACACGAAAAGACTGCGGCGAAGAACGGGTCGCTTGAGTTCGACTCCTCCTACCCAAGATGTCCAGGTAGCACTCTAAACCCTAAACCCAGCTACTGTGCAACTGCAGTTCGGCCTTTACCACGCGTCCGTTCGAGAGCCGGACATATGCAACCTTGGCAGCTTCTAGATTCTAGGTTAAGCTGCATCCACAGGCTGCCTATACCCAGGGAGCCCAATACCCCTTATTCAAGGTGCATACCTTGAGCAAACGGGACGTCATAGCATGTATGATCTTAGGACATTTAAGGTCTTTTCCTTGATTGAGGGGTGCTGGGCTCTTTGGGTATAGTTGTTCAATCCAGCTGCCTTTCGAAGACCAGAATTAGGCTTCCTCGGGAACTGTACGAAGACCTTCATGCAAGCAAACCATCTCCGAACATCTCCGCAGACAGACTCCGACGGTGGCCTTGGTGCAAACACCTTTCCGGTTTCCAGCTCCCTCCAACCACTTCGACTTGGCATTGAATCTCCAGTTCGGGATCTCAGTTTCAGGCAAGCACCAAGCATGTGGTAGAACTCGGTAGAACTGTGTGAATCACATCCAGCTTGGAGCCGGACCATCTTTGGCCTGCGCTTGTAAAAGAGGCGCCCGTGAAGGTTCCTGCACAGGGCTCCACCGATTGACAACCAGAATGCTTTTTACCTTCGATCCAAATTTCGATTTGTCACTCCTGGTGCTGAAGCCGCGTCTGCCCTGACAGTTGCTAGCCACCGAGGGGCTGAGCATGGAGAAACGAGCCATTGGCAGTTCGCATCTCTGAAAGAGGGAAGACCCTCGCGCTGTGAGCGCATTGGGTACCGCAGTGACTGAGGCCAGCCCTCGCCCTGGAATGCAGGGTTGGAAGACTTGCCGGGCCACCCGGTTGCCAATCTGATAACATTGGCTGGCAACTCGAGAGAGCATGGCTCAGCACCCGCGGTGTGGATCCATCACCCTGCTCTAGCTGTTAGGTGCTCCGTGAAGCATAGCTAAACTTGCAGCTGTAAATGTTTGAGTAACTGATAGTGACTACCTGCCATGTTGCTGATCTGATCCTTTCGAAAGTTGCCACGGCCTGTGTCTCGGTCGCTGAAGACTTCACAAGAAAGCAGGACAGCAGCAACACTCTTCCGTCAATTCAGACGTGTTGCTTCGACGGTTTTCTATCCATTCAGCCCTTCTGAAGCTGGACCAGCACCCATCTCCAAGATGCGCTCGAAACTACTTGACCTTGCCAGCTCTTGCAAGCCTTGCATGATTCCAGACAGCATGTGTGAGCTGGACGCCGCTGTACGCTCACCTCCTTGTAAGGTCCACAGAAACGCGAGGGCCACGCCTCTTTTCTACCTGAACGGGTCTAAGACACCTCGTTGCCACCGCCCGGGCCCGACCCTGCGCACGTCCACGACGAGGCGCAAAAGGACCAGCTCTTGGCTCGCGCTCTCGGCGGAGTTCACGGAGTCCGGATCGTCCGAGTCGGTGCAGAGGCAGCGCACTTCCAGCAGGCCAAGGCTCTCGAGAGCCGAGGCCGGTAGCGCGTCCGGCGGCACGCCGGACACGAAGAGCTCCACGAAAGAGGACCCGCCGTCCTCGCTTGCGCCGATACGGTCCACGGGCAGCACCACTGGCACCTGGTGGTGCACGAGGTCTGCCAGGAACTTCACCTGCCACTGCACCTTTGGCAGCGGCGCCTCTGATCGCAGGTCGATCTCAATGCGGAAGGGCGCATCCAGAGCACAGATAGTTGGGTCAACAGCAACACGGACTACCTGACAGTGCAGGCAACATGAACAAGCATGGTGTCTGGTTTGCCACCGAATGGCCTCTATGTCAGCAGCAGTGGCAGCAGTACGCTGCATCTCGGCCTCACATTGGAGTGCACCGGAAGAGAGGACGATTCATGCCGTTACAAGCGTGTCAACACTGCGCACAGCTTGAGAACCAGGCCATTGCCTGAAGTCTCGTGTCGGGCCATTGCTCTGTAAGCTATGCATGTCGCAACTCGAGCAGCTGACAGAGAGTCACGATAACTGGGAACGTCCATTAGAGCGGCCTATGCCGCCGCAAGCAGGTAAAGCTTCACCAAGATTCCTACAGTATGTCACTATGTCGCATGGACATGGCACACCTCCTGGCTGTTTTCGCAAGCAATCAGCATGCGCGGTTGCACGCGTGGACGTTAACGGCTGGCCACCCGAGGCTGCAATCAGGACTGGATGCTAAAATGCTCACAGCCTGAATGCTCGGGGTACCAGATGCCGCAGAAGTTCGAACATGTCTAGCGACCACCCTAACCAAATCCTGCTTACAATCGCATCCATCGCACATATGTTGCACGACACCATTCGGGCCAGACAATGCTGAATAATGGGCTGTGTGAAAGCGGCGATGTGAGAGATCAGATTCACTCGAAGACATCCTCTACAGGATCTTCCGGAAGCTCGTTCGCCTGCGGTGGCTCGCGAACGGAATGCAATAGAGAGCAGCACTTTGATGCATTTGCGGCTCTCATTGCGGGCCTTCTTGCGCTCTTCTCTCTCTGCTTTGTCGTTGAGCTTCTTTACCTCGGGGACGAAAGGTTGCAGCGTGTTGCAGCAGTTGTAGGTGGGCAAGGCAAAGCAGGCATAACGTAAAAGAGTTCTACAACGCTCGCATCTCGTTTCGCTGTCGGACTTGGGAGACGGTCGGGTTGGGTTGGTATGCATGGCTTGGCACCCGAACCGCCACAGACCAGTTTGCCATGGGGGGTGGCTTTGTCCAAACAGCGTCCTGTGGACACTGTTGACGTCCGTCGAGGGCTCATCAGCTACAAACATGTCAACGTTTCTTGGTGTCGGGATATTAACATGGCGTCGAAAGTGACCGAGAGGGTCACGACTGCTACGGAAAGAGCTTTTGGGGTGACTGAGACGTGGGACATGAGGGGGCTTGTCCTGTGTACTTGCAGTTCGTCGCTACAAGCCCGGCTTTTTCTTTGGACGCGTAGATGCTTCGATGTGACACGGAACAGAGGAGAGCGCCGTAGCAGTCTGGTTTTCCACAGTTGGGATTCGCAAGTGACGATCTGCATCTTTTCGACGCTAAAACTACAACTGCTAAAGTTTAGCAAGTTTGGCTGATACAATGTGTGTCGACACGGGAGTCTTCGCAACGGCGCGGGTTTCCGACGAGTGTAAGCTCCACCAAGACAATGTCGGAAAAGCAGAAAGCCAAATTCATGAAAAGGAAAACAGGCTTTCACGCTTCACACCACGCCCCAGAAGGCCGATCACATGCCAGATCAGTCCAAGCAACGTAGGGGTTCTTGAGCAACTTCCTTGCCTGTAGCAAAAGCACCGTCCACTTGACTCAAAGCAGCCACTTCAAGCGTGCCGATTGCAAGGCTCTGCCAGCCTGAACCCGCAAGGCCGTGGGCGACATGTAGTGAGGGTTCAGGTACCTGCCAAAGAAGCACAGGCCAGAAGTCTTTCCTGGCATCTGAGAATCAAAATCCAGGGCTCACAGGGTTTGCCCATTGAAGCTTCCACCCAAGATTCTGATGGGGTCCAGGACGAAGCGAGGGCCAATCTCGGTGAGGACCTGTGCAGTGAGAGATTCTTGTTCGGGAGGGCCGGGGCCCACAAGGGATCAGCAGCGCCTGCTTCTCAGGCTTGTTGTTATCCTCTGGCGTTTCCGGCGAGATTTGGTAGTGCCTGAACCTGAGTGCTAAATCTTCGGTCTTCGGAAGACTCGGCTTCCTAGATGCTTCAGGACGGGGCCAAATCTTCTTGTCCAGCCTCGATGTGCTCAACGGCTCGCGCAACGAAGCTGCGAGTGTAATCCAAGTGCTGCTCAGCAGCCAGTAGAAGCACATGATGTGATCATGGAACGGCTTGCTCTTGGGATGATTTCGTGGAGTACCAAAGACCTGACACATAACCACACGGCCTGGAGACTCCGGCTGACGGCTTCCCAAGTGGCCTGTAAAAACAAGCCTTTGACAAGCTTCAGGTATGACACCTCACTGAAGCTTTTGTCAAAGTACCTGCCAGTAAAACGGGTGATGAAGCTGTCTCACAAGGTCAAAAAGTGAGGCGCAGTCCGAAATTTCACTATCTGCGAAGAGTCACATGATCGGCCGGCTTCCCAACAGGCAGTTCCCAGCCTTAGCCAGTCCAAGAAGTCAATTTCGTTGAGCTTGAGAATACCGAGCGGGAGACTAGTCTGACTTCCTGGGTAGTGTGGATGTTCAACACCTGGCACAACAGCACCGCGACACACCACTGCGGACAACTATGAATATGATGCATGAGCCTGAAACTTCATGGTGGGGCCAGATGGCACTCGTCCAACCCAAAGGTACCTGTAGAGGCAGTCTCTGCATCTGCAGACGGCCTGTCCCTATTCACAGAAACTCTTAATTGTCGCAGTGGGGAAAAACACAACCGTGCTCACTTTACGTTTTGTACAGTTCGGGATCATCTGGAACTGAAACGCTTCAGCCACCGGCTCTCGCGAGTCAGCTTGCCCATCACATCAATCAAAGTCTAAGTCCGCCCAGTGCTCTTTCAACTTCCGATGTCAAACAGCCCTTCAGGTGCACAAGTCTTCTCGTTTTCGAGCTTCGAAGAACACGACATTGTTGCAGTTCTTCAGCTCGCAGATCTGCGTAAGCTTCGCTGGTGACCATGAACACTCGCCCATGTCGTCAATCCAAGCCTCATTGATCTCGTTGAAGTTTGATCGTTTCTCGAACTTTGGTTCCTGGCAATTGCAAATCGCAAACTAGAGCACAAGGCAGACTACGCGTCTGCTCAACCGAGAATTTTGCAAGGGTCACGGATTTGTGGTGGGGTAAAAGCTTGCGAAGGTCGTCGCACAAGTGGCGAAACCTTCAGTCAATGCGAGCCACGGGACAAACACTCCGGACAAAGTTGGCCCCATTGCTCGTCGGCATGACTCCGCTTCAAAGTGTCCCGGCCTTGCTGTGACTCCGCGGCTGCAGAATACAAGCGTTCGCTGCTTGTTCCGCCATCTGGTGTCTTTCTGGATGTACCTGCAGCAATACTCTGCTACTCTCATGCTCGCACGGTATCGGAGGAGAGGAATGGAGAGGATACTACTTCCCGCACTTCCCAAATCTTTGAGGAAACCTTTGCCTTTTGCTTTGCATCACGTCTGCTGCCAAGGCACGCGGCATCAGCCATGAGGTACCTATCCGATCACCACTTGAAGGGAAGGGATTGGGGCATGCAGCGCTACAGAATGCACGATTCACGCCCAGCTAGGCAAAGCACGGGTCTGGCTTCGCCGCTGCGTCGGCCACCTGCATCCGGTCAGATGGGGCGTTGCAGTTTAAGGGCCCAGAGCAGCACAAGCCAAGGGCAGACTCTTTGACAGAATCGCTCGAAAGGTGCGACGTCAATGCGAAGCATCGTTGCCATGGCCCCGCTGGCCATTCCCCTTCACATCGGGGTTCCTCCCGTAAGCTGTTCAGCTCTGTCTGGCAAGGTGTGGCGGAGCGAGACTACGACGATCGCCGCGACGATCGATTCCTTCGCCACGTCGTCGGGCGGCACTCTGCACCACAGCGTCGGCCAGCGTGGGTGTGCCCAGCACGAAGTGGAGGCTCTGCTGCTGTTCGCTCTAGTACCAGAACGATCTCAGCTGGATGGACAGGATGGAAGAAAGTGGGGTAAGCACTACCTGGGAATCCGTGTAACACCGCCAGGCGAGAAAACTGAGCCCGGGGCCCCTGCTGCAAAGGTCGGCTCGTTCGCTGCTTGAGCTGGCTGAAGATTGCATGGTATGGCGAGCAGTGAAGGTCCGTATCATTGACCATCGACCAAACTTGCCAGCCACCGGCACCTCCCGTGAGCGCAGGCTGCGCCGGGTCTCTACAGCTCCTCAGCACGCAATCCCCTGACTCCAGTGCGCGTCCGGGTGAAAAGTTCACGGTGTTGCAGCGCTGATGTTGTGTACAGCTGCGCTTGCAGTCTTCTGCCGACGTCCCGTCTCCGTGATGCAGGTACAGGCAATCCACGCCCAGCGCCACCTGGTCTTTGGCCCATGAGAGCCATGGGTCGGAGTCGCTGTCGCCCGCTGCGTTCCGGCGCTTTCGGCCCCAACCCCGGTGGAAGTCAAAGAAGCAGGCGGCTTCTTCGAGCTTTTGCTTCATCTTCCCGATCCTTTCCAGAGGAATGCTGCGCAGGTAGCTCAGGAGCTCCGGGCCGACCTTCTCCTCCGGCCACTTGATGCTCAGGGCCTCAGAGCTTTGAGGCTTGGCGAATCGGGCGCTTCGTGAGCAGTCGCTTCTCATGCCGAAATCAGGGGCCAGGGCTGGCCAGTCGACAACATTCTGGAAGGGGACGTCCAAGAAGTCAGATATGATTACAGGAATGCCTAGCAGCTAGCACTGTTTCACCGTCAGCTTTTTGAGACATGGGCTTCAGCGCCACATGCGTTAGGCGAATAATCAGAAAATTCAGCTTGTCAAGTGAGAGACAACCAAAGAAGAAGCTCTCGTAAAGGTGAATAGTCCATGCCTGGCACAGGAATCTGTCCTGTCTATTTACTTGTTCAACAGGCAGCCATCACTGCAAGCCGTTTGGTCTGGATGCTTGTTTTAGGTGCCGTACCGAAGAGCCACGAGGAACCAAGCAGAAATGGGTTCTCCCCATCCCTGCAAGCGGTCTGGTTCGCAAGCACTGATGGGAGGATCGCACTGCAAAAGAGGAACTTAAGAAAAGAACCGGAGCAGTCATTCCTATAGCCCAGGTGCTCTGGAAGAAGTCCGACACAGGACCACCAACGCTGCAGTCGGGTATGCCAGCGAAAGACTCCAGGATTTGGGTGCGCACCTGTCGAGGTCGTCAGAGTGGGGCTGCCAAGCAGGTACCATACCTACGGACCTGACACTGCGAGAAAGCACATAACGACTGCCAGTGGAACACTCCTGCACTTTTCACTCGCAATGCACGCTGCAATCGGAGTATCATTCATTGCCAGCAGCCTTTCTGCAAGCACGGCACCTGGGCGAAAGCTGGTGCAATTCCAAAAAGATGCAGGCCCTGTGGCAAGCTGAAACATACTCTCTCGGGTTCATGCTTGACCAACTTGATGCCCTTCTGCGCATTTGAGCAAATCTGTGAGCAATCGATGGACGATTGGCAACCTTGAAAGCCGTCTCGTTTGAGTGCATCTCTGCTTCCTCTCGCAGCTCATACACCGGGGACATTGAGAACCTCCACGGATCTGTCCCGACAAACCTACTTCTTCCAAGGAGCAGTAGACGCGGAGGTCTGCGACACCCATGTTGTCAGCTGCATCCTGCGGCGCAGAGGCGTGTGCCCAGCAAACTGTTATCAAAGTCGCGTCTGGGTCCTGAACCACGTTGGCCTGGGCTCCACACACCGTCTCTCCAGGAGGGCAGCGAAGTTCTTCGGACCAGGCAGCCTGCGGCACTGGCACTCTCCGCGGATTTCTACATGGGCATCTTTGTCGTTCTCCTGTGAGCATGGGACAGTGAGTCAGCGACAACAAAAGCATGCGCAACAAAACTTTGCAGACAGAACAATGCAAGATCAGCACTCGACGACACGACTGATGCTGCGATACTACAGCCGGCCGACCAGTAAGCGAAGCCTTAAGCTCGCTGTACTCAGGGAACCCTGATGAACCCGGGTCAACACTTCATGACTTTGCCTCCTCGGTGGTTGAGAAGTTGAGTTTGGAGACAGCGCTGAGGTCGGAGGCTCCTCCGTTGCCAGGACGCAGCCACGTTACCCACAACTGCCCTCACTGTGTCAACTGCAATCTTCAGCTCAAGGATCGGCAGCTGAACTCCAATCCAGTAATGCCCGCATTGTCCAAGCCGCTCCTGCACACTGTGGTTGCCAAGGTAGTGACAACCGAACTAACATGATACACTATGACATAACGTATTGCAACATCAACGTAATGGGCAATTCCGGAACCTGGGGCTGCGTCCCTGCGAGCGGAAGCCGTACACCGCCTGGCCTCAAACACTGAATACCATCAAAAAGCGATTCTGTGAGCTGTGATGAGCTGCGAGCCTGCCGGGCAGCTGGTCCAGTTTGACCACTCCCCATCAGGTCCTTCTGCAGTGGCAACCTCGCACGAAATACGCCAACTCCGAGTAGAGACCGAGAGATGAATGGGCTTCCCGCCTCGGTGCCGTCACTGCACTGGAATTTCAAGGCGTTCACACCGCTCTCGTCGACGGAAGGCGACAGGAGCGCCTCTCATCAAAACTACCAGGTGGAATTCTACCTTGCCGCTTCTCCATGCTCTCTCTCTGGTCCTTCATCTTCTTGATCTGAGCGCCGGTGACCTCGGTGAGAATTCGCTAGGAGTCGCCGGCGGCATATCTTCTGAAGCCCTGTGAGGCTGAAGCATATGCCCCGGCTGGGCAGGTTGCACCGGCGCCCCAGAAGCCGAGGCCTGCGACCCGTGACTCAAGAGGCGATAGGCACTGCGCAAAGAAAGAGGCGGCGCCTTTCATGTTACTCGGAGTCATCATTGCTGACACATCTTCTCGTGAGATGGTCCCCAGGTCGTAGCCTGGCATGTCTCGTCTTGCGTTCCTATGCAAGTCGCAGGCGTGAAGCACTACGGAGCCTGTGCGAGCCAGGCGCAGGAATTCGGCTTTCGTCATGAACTCATCCTCTGACCTGGTCGATCGGTCGTGCTGGAAAGAGTTTTCCACAGCAGAAAGGCGAATAAGTCCAATGCTGATGGTAGCGCTCCCACAAGCGCTCAACTTCGTCTGCAGACTTGCCTTGCCTGGCATCTGCACCAGCAAGATCGAACGTAGCTCGCTTCTTGCACAGCCTGTCATGGAGCTCCAGACTGAATTCCTCGTCCGACACGACGCCATCTTTGTTCACATCTGCACGATCCCACTCCTGCATAAACATCCACGGTACAATTGCTCTGTCACGGGGTCGTCAAGCGATAGAAGTAAGACAGGGTGACACGATTCCTGACTCAAGCGTTTCTCGGTGATTCGTCTCTGGTCCAGATTCACCTCAGTTTGGAGTGCAACTGCACGACTACACCTGCGACAGCAGAAATCTAACCCTTACTATCACATGTCTTGGGCATTCCTGAACACGCTCTTGCCGGCAGGCCACACGTTGTTCCAGATACCTGCTGTATGCTGAGCAGAGAGAGAAAGCAAAGCCGCTTGAGAAGGGGCTGCAGCATCTGCCTGGACACGTACGCAGGAACCTGGTCAACAGTCGCTACGGCCTGGACAGAAGTAGCCGCCAAAGGGAAAGAAAGGATGGACTCATGAAAATTTAAATTTGGGATGCCTTTTACAAGCATCGACTGTCAACGAAGAGCAAACTCGCAGGATCAAAGCACTGGCCTCTGCCTCTCCACTCGAAAGCCGATCCTGCGGTGGACTCACCCTAAACTGCCGCGCTGCGCAGCTGAACCAGGCCTTGGGTGCCATCAAGGGATAGCTTGCAGCCGTGTCGTCCCACAGCTCGCGCTTCAAGCTGCCAACAACCTGGAGCGAAGGTCAGAAGCTTGCAATGGAATGGGCTCCCGGCTTGAGAAGACGCGAAATCCGAGTACCCATGGTTCGGTAGCCGATAGCACCTCTTCTGCATCTGGGTAGCTGGAGGTCCCTTGCCTGGCCGCAATCGATCTGGCTTGGCGATGAGACGGCGCTTGTCCTTGGTGACCGGGTGTGTCAGCCGCTACAGACTCCCAAGGACACTGTAATTAAGATGCAAGCTATGTTGATGAGCGGTGATGCACCATCCGGATTGTCCAGACCGCCACCTTCACCTGGCGAGGGGTCAGGCAATGACACAAAATCAGCTGCAGGAATGGAAACTTGCCGGGAAGGCCGACGCCGCTGTTGCCTCCAATGCAGTCACTCAAGAAGCACGCTGATCAGCTCCAGACTGCGCCTCGTGGCGGCTGCTGCGGAAACGTTCGCTGTCTGATCTTCTTTGATGGCATCCAGTCCTTGCAAGACTGTCGAAGACACGCAGCATTGGGCGCAGGCGCTGCTTAAGTAAGCTCACACAAGCAAGCATGCATGCCAACTTTGCCGTCAAAGGATCCGGTGCCATCGGGGGAGTGCCATCTTCTAGCAGTGGCAATCTTTCCCCAGCGGGAGCAGCTGGCCTGGTTGCACGAGCATGCACGGCAACAGCGCTTGGAAGTGCACAAAAACTGCTGCGGTGGATCCTACACTGTATTATACTATGCAAAACTACACTAGACCCTGCTATGCCCTGCTTCTCTACACTATACTATGCGACCCACTTAAGGAGCCACGCATCGGCCCTTAGCCAAGGACGCGGCTTTGCACCCGTGAGAGAGGCATGCTGCGCCACTCCATCGAGCCGATCCATGGGCGCCTCACTTAGCAGCCACGGAGTACGCGAAGAAATGGCAAGTAATGTAAGTTCTGCTTTTGCCAATCTTACTACGCTTGTTGCTCTTGATGGTCTTACTATTCTTACTCGTCTTACTCACTATGATTCCTATTGCTATGAAAGCCATTACTCCTCCTCCTCCTCCTGCTGCTGCTCCTGCTGCTAGTATTGCTAGTACGACAACTCTTATTCTCCCCTTGTCTTCTTACACTTGTGACAGCTGTTAGCATGAGGAAGCCAATAGAAGACATCGGGAGAGATAGAATCAACGATGGCAAGCGCGAACAGTCCAATGTAAAGGGATTCTTCTTCCAGCCGCACGTGAGAAGAGGGCGACGAAAGCTAGGGGAAAAGAAGCGTAGCTGGGAACACGGGGTGACTAGTGAGGCGATGCGAATGACTTGCACGGGGGTGACGTTTGACATGAAGACTACAACTGAAAAAAAGGCGTGGAGCCAGATTCTATCTCCGAATTCTGATGGCATAGAGACAGAGCATGTCAAGGCGCTGAAAGATTTCGAGAGAAGATCAGTCTTTAGCAAATGCGCTAGCCGCCGACAATTGTGACGAAGCGCTGCGAGAGAGACGGAAGAGCTGGAGCCAAGCCGCAGCGCAAGCAACAGGCTTCAAACAGAAGCAAACTGAGGGACCTTGCGAGGGGGGGGGAGGGGGAGAGACTTGAGGGTAGGGGGGAGGGGGAGGGAGGGGGGTGGCGCACCGCACCTTACTTCATGAACGGCACCCCCTCCCCCTGAGATGTAACCTGGACGTGTATCCCCTCGCTAGGCGTACAGGAACACAGGCACTCAGGTGTCTCTTTTGCTACAGGCGCACAGCTGTAGTCCACTGCACTAGAACCTTGAGCAACAGGCATGGATACATGCAAGTGATACGTGAAACAGACAGGCACCTGGATGTGTAACATTCAGTGTTTCAACCAGGCACAAATTTAAAACACGTAGAGCTGCATGGCCGTGGAGTCGGCATTCAACTAGCCTGTTATTGCTCTCGGTCGAATTAGCGGAGTATTGAGCTACATCTGCGACTTGAAGAGAATCTATACATCTCTCACCTGAAGACAGCTTCAATGAAAAGAGCAGAACACGCACGAAAACGCAAACGGATCTTCAACTGAAAACTTTTGCTTGAAAGTTGCCCACTTGTGTTCAGTTTCCTCTCCAGGCGGAAAGCTTACTGTCACATAAAAGATTGTAGAGCTTAGCTCCACTTGATGCCAGCATGACATCTTGCGACACGGCAAATATATAAGGGCATAAGAAGTATCTTATCCTGAGATAGGTATCTTCTTTCTGACAGGGTCTCTGAGGAAGTACCTCTTCATGAGAAAAGCATCTTCCTATGAAATGGCGAATGCTCAAACTGGATCCCTTCTTATGAAAGAAGCATTCCGTGAAACATTCACTCCACATCTTCCAACG